AAGGCTGTTGGGTTCAAAAATCGGAGCTTGCTGAGCACAGGGCAGAAATGGAACACGAGATTGAATGGTCTCAAACTTGTCATTTTGCCGATTATGGTATGTTTGCGGCTAAACGTAAAATTATAGAGGCCATAAAAATAATCTAATAGGAAATACCTTGAATGTAAGGAATACCGGCAAGGAGATAAGTAAAAACTATTTGTGCTTAATTAATAGACTGAAGGATAGGAGATAAGCCGCCTACAAAAAGGAGGCGACGCAACTAGTCTTTTCTTGTTTTGTTTCTAATGATAGTCAATTCTCTGTACCTTTAGCTCACTTTTTCTCTCGCATTGAGGCCAAAAAACAAAAAATAGGCTCATCAACAAAACCAGACGTGTGTCCGACGTTGTGCAATCGGAATGATGGTTATAACATGTATGTAAAAAGGGGGAGATAGGGGTCATCAAACCTTGTTGGCCAAATACAGACGTTCCTTTTTGCTGTACTAATTTCTTTGAGCCCTCAATGCGGGTTTCGTGCATAAACGAACACAAACAGGCACATACACATACGGAGACAGACACACTCACATGCATCTAAGTTGACATATGACCATAACTAACCAAATAACTTTATACTAGATCAAAGAGGCCAGATGTAGAGTATATATACCACTTTTTAGGGATTTGCCGGTGAGTTTTCTTGACTCAGCATGAATTTTGTTGTGACGATGATACTTTGCTCTGATGATGTTCGTCATAGGACGGACGAAAGCTCAGCACCTTTTCACCGGAATCAAAGGAGATTACCTCGGATACAGCGTCAGCATAAATCTTCCCAGTAAAGCCAATCGACAGCTGGTCAAGAGGAATCCGCCGTCGTCTTCTGGTGGAACCGACCTTCGAATCTATTTACCCAACACTTTCATTCGAAATGGAAGTAAGCTCAACAATGGGAAATTTTGTTATTAAATATTCTTAGACAAGGTTCGATGAGTATCTTAGAAACCCATTTATTTTGCACTTTCATATAAAATGAAGGTCTCTCCAGTAATGTTATCTCAGGAGATTCATCGAAACCCAATTACTCTTCGTATCTACAATAATAATTAAGTTTTCGAAACTATCAGTATATATTCAATTTCTACACGTTACCATAAGTGGGCCTTGCGATACCATTGAATTTCACTTATCTGTCTGAAAAGACCAGGGCACAGCAAGATCAGCAAAACGAACACAACTAGATTAAGAAAATATTTAAGGAAAGTAAACCGCAAGGAGAGCACAGAGGAATAATCTAAAATCAAGAGAAAACGTCTACAATCAGC